AGCAAGGAACTCAAGCTTCCATCATAAACAATGATGTCAGAGCTCTCTCTAGCCATTTCGCTGCTCCAAGTCCCCATTGCGATCCCGAGATCAGCTTCTTTTAGCACGGGGGACTCCTTCGTACTGGTTCCAAGTGCCACCACCGCGGCGCCTTTCTTTTTCAAGCATTGCAATAGAAGTAGCCTGTCAGAAGGAAGAGCATTACCCATCACATAGATTTTGTCTACTTTATCCATCCTCTCTTCTTCATCGTAGTTTCTGAAGTCCTCGCCTTTCACGATTAATCCGCCAGTGGGAACAATTCCACAGACACTCGCTATGTCTTGAAGCTCTAACAAGTCACGTTCTGAAACCAATTTGATTTTTACTCCAGCATCTTGAAAAGCTTTAAGTGCTTCTTTTGTCTCCACACAACATTTGTGCTTATTCAGGCCTAGCATTCCTATCAAGATCAAATTTTCTTCTTCCAGCATTTGATTGTCACTTTGCTTGCAAGCTAAATTGACGGTTTTGAGACCTTCACGTCGCATCTGCTCAATATTTCTCTCAAAAAGCGTTCTTTTTTCTTCATTCAAAACGTTTATATCCCCATTTCTGTCGTAGTAGCTTGAACACTTGGCCAATATTGTTGCCGCAGGCCCTTTCCAATGCGAACACAAGATTTCTCTCCCATTACCAATATTCTTCTTCAACAACACTCCACTTCCTTCTTCATTCGAGCTCAATCCTTTTGTCTTCACAATTCTGCGATTCTGCCTCAAAATGTCAAGATTCATCTTTACATTTGATGCAGCCCATGGAAGGAGAGGATCTTCTGTTACCCTGCGAGGACTCGACGGCATAACAAGTGGGGTACTAATACCATCACAAAAAGCTACTCGAAGCTCTTCATCCATCACATCAATGAAGCCCGTTTTGATGACTTCATCATCACCAACGAAGCACATGTCGACATCCACCGAATTCAATGGAGTCGTGTCAGTGCAAATGGTTGTGGCCGAGCCCATCTTTACACAATCCAACAGTCCAGGAGCATAGGCCTTCCCAGACAACATCTTCTTTCTCCAATAAATTGCGGCTAGCGTGATCAAAAAAGGTATTCCTTCAAGAACTCCCACTAGAACTATGGCAAGTGGAGCCTTTATGAAACTGCTGGCCTTTTCACTCGGATTCTTGACAACTCTCTCTATGATATCCATGATCTCCACGCTTGCAGACGGTTTGCTCTTGAGCTCTGGGAGATCCGGCTTGGCCACGCGACTTGATCTGCCGAGCATTAGGCTGAGTAACAACACTAAAACAATGAGAATCGAGATTGAGAGCCCGGCAATCTGCGTGATCTTCCTCAACTTGTCAAGTTGAGCTGGTAACGTTATCCCCTCAGGAGTACAAGCGGCCACTTTACTCATCGCCTCACCCAACTCGGTGTTGGTTCCCACAGAAGTAACTAGCATACGTCCACTTCCATGACTCACCTTTGAGCCATGAAAGAGAAATGGAGATTCTTCATCAATGGAAGTCTCCAAACCATCATGCACCACAAGAAAATCGCCACCAATAAACAACCCATCAGCAGGGATTAGAGATCCTTCGCTCAAGCGCACCACCTCGCCTAACGCAATCTCAGATATGGACACTTTTTGTAGGCATCTTCCTCTAAACACATCAACCTCATATTGCTCTCGCAAATCTTTGGCCACTTTTTTCCTGCGTGAATGTTTAAGCCATAGGTCACGTATTGTTGGAGCAGCCACAAGTATGATAATGACAAGGACTATGATCACCCCTTGGTACCAGCCAGTCTTCGGTCCGTCTTTCTTGATTCCGAATCCGGTGTAAAGCACCGCAACAAAAAATAGAAGAAGAATGGTGCAGTCATTGCAGTGCCGTCCAAGAAAGCCGAAAAAGCCCGGGGCAGGAGCTTCCGTTGCTTGTGGAATAGAGACTAGTGGAGTTCCTTTAACTCTTCGGTAATATAGATCATTTTCATCGCCGGGGATTCCGTTCTCTAAATCGGTGTTGAGAGCCTGTGCGATTCCGTTGATGCCTCCAAAATCGTTTAAGAAGAATAAGTTTTTGGTCCTTACTATGTTGGCAATGTTGGCGCGTTGGAGTTCTGCATCACCATTAGTAGTGTCACCCACTATGTCCAAACGAGCATCATCTTGTGAAACTTGAGGTGCTGGGGTTGGAAGTTCTGTGCTTTCTATCTCCTCTGATTCCTAAATGAAATCAACCAAGTAATAACAATTGTTAGATATGTTTCTTCTTTTGGAAAAAAAAGAAGTGATAATAATTGTTTGATATGTTTTATGTTTTGCAGGGAATTAAAAGGTGAGGAACTCAATTAATTGCAATAAGATTAAGGCTTCAAATTCAAGGCAGGAAACTATTGACTTCCTGATGTTGGTCATGGCATGCAGAAAATGCTGGCTGCTTCCCTCAGTAAGTAACAGAGATTTCGAATTATAAACTTCCATTGGTAATTGATTGCTTTTAGACTCTTTTTCCTTCCCACACAAAGGCATCGACGTAACTCAAACAACGACATGATTAAATTTTAGGCTTATTTACATAAATGCCGAATTAGAGCACTTCCTATCTAAAAATGCGGACTCTTTTGTTTATTTGTAAAACTATCGATTATCACATATATAAAGACAATTATATTCTCATACAATGAAAAAAGAAAAAATAATAATTAAAGAACATAGTAGGTAAAAAATCAACAAAATAAGCAATTAGAAAAAAAAAATCAACAATTTAATGAAATGTGGTCGGTTTTAAGAAAAGGAAAGTTTCTCTTTTAAAAAAAGAACGAATATGCATATATAATTCCTAAAAAAAATGAAATCACCACATCAACCATCATAAAACAAGTGAAAAATTCCTAAAAACACATAAAAATTCATAAAACGAACAACATATTAAGTTAGGAGTCAACAAATGATATGCACAAAATCACCACATCAACCATCATTGCCATAATGATAATATGATCATAATAAAAATTTATAAATTTCAGTATATGTATAAACAAGAGAAATATGCATTACTATAATGATAATGAGAATATGCATTACCAATATAGTATAATTATGATAAGGATTTATAAATTATAGAAAATAGGCATTATTTTAAAGAATACAAATTTTATGATAACAATGAAAAAAAAAAGAATATACTAAATATGTTCACCAAAATATGAATATAATTAGTATTATCATAAGTAATATAAGATTTATTATAATTATTAAATAAACACCGTATATATAAGCATTAGTTAAAGTACACAATATGCGAATACAATCATTGTCCTAAAGATTATAACTTTATGATAATAATCCATATGAAAAAGATGACCATGCAAAATAAAGACGAAGAAAAATCCAATCTATTGATAGAGTCCTTATAATAAAGAACATAATTTCATGAGAATACTATAAGAAAGAAGGAAAAAAAATATATAAAAAAAACTCGATATATTTATATGCTCCTTATAAAAAAGAATATGATTTTATAATAACATTAATCCATATAAAAAAAGTTAGCATGTAACAAGAGATGAGGGAAAAAAACTGAAAACTTTACAATTATTATAATTTATTGCAAGATCAATGAAAACAAAGTAAAGAACGAGTATTATATGATTGATTATACCAACATATGGGTATAAATCCCAGAAAAAACGAACAAAAAAAAGTTGTTATGCAAATGAAATAAAAAGAAAAGATATGGATTCCCTTTGCATTGCTCACCCGCTGAAACTCTGTATGCAAGCCTCCCAGCAGCACAAACTAAACAATGTTTTGAAAAAAAAAAAAAAAAAAAAAAAAAACACAAGCGAAATACAAAATGAATACAAATGATATATGTAATAAAGAAGACTTTTTTTTTCAAACACTGAAAAAATCCTTGAGAAAGTCAATTAGAGTTAAAAGGGAAGGCAAATATTTAAATTATAATGAAAAAAAAATCACTACAAAAAACAATAATTAACCATATAAGGAGTATATACCTAAAATACTCTATAAGGGCAATTCCAGGAAAAAATATGCTTTATAAAATTTAAATCGCCATTTTTGTAATATTGTAAAATTGTCTATATTTTAAAAAATACAGTTTCAAGAATATGCATTTTATGTAATTACTTCTTAAATTTAAGAGAAAAGTAATAATAATTAAATAAGAAACTAAAGTAAAGAAGAGAAAAAGAAAGAGATTTGACGTAGTGCGGCAAGGTGCCTACATTCACAGGCTAGGAAAAGAGAGGGAATTCGCTAGTCATGAGCACTGTGAAGTGGGCTCTGTACAAATAGACGTTACAAGACACATAATCGGAGTAAGTTATTTATTAACGAAGTCAAAACTACTAATAAAGATACTTTCTTTAATATACTTTCCCTAATAAAAATTCTATGATTTGCCATAGTTTTATTCAGACGTATTGTTTATATCATTTTAAATTATTAAGTGCTATTGTGCCTTTATTATTTTCTTTTTAATAATTGAAAATTAATTAATTATTTTTAAGTTAACTTGCATAAATAATTACTTTTACCATCTTGAGTGGTATTTCTGATTATTTTTCTTAAATTTAATTTATTTGATCATATTGATATTGGATTAATACACATATATATCATATAACAAAATAATATTAACGTATTGTAAATAGTTATCTAAAATGGGAAACTTTTAATTTATTTGATCATATTTTGGATTAATACATGTAACAAAATAAATATTAACGTATAGTTATCTAACATTTTAATACTGTAAATAGGTTGTTATTATAAGGATATGACTGCATGCAAAAAAGAAATAAGTATTTTGTGGATAGAGCTGCAATTTTGGACCGCCCAATCTAGACTCAGCGGTTCTAATAGGCCGGGTCGGCCTGAGTTAAGGGAGGATCGGTCCAAACAAATCTGAATTTTTATAAAGCATTTAAAAAGGTTTAAAAAATGTGTTTGGAAACTTTTAAGCTCGAAAACTAGGTCTAGTCTGACTTAAGGGTTTAGGTCCGGATTGGGTCAACAGTGACAAGTTTGGGGTGTGACTCGGTAGACTTGCAACTCTAATTATAAATTATTTCTATGGAGAAAGACGTGAGTTTATTAATAAAAAAATTAGTAAATATTAAGAAAATGTTGATAACTAATGTATGTAATTTTGGGGTTTTATTGGAGTAAATCCTATAAATTTTGGATTTTTAATGAAATTTGGTCATGAATAAATATAGATAAATTCCTCATGTATCAAATTTGATAATGAGATAAACTTATAAATTCTAGATTTACGATCATTGGATTTTTTTTTTTAAATGAGAACTGTATTCAACTAAATAAAAATATATAAACACTAATATTGTGAATGCCCTAGTGATACACAAGACAAAACTCTAAATTGAGAACAAATAATATGTTGACCGAAAGGGATAAAATACATGAAAAGTAATTAGCACAACAACGTCAATGTTGACCGAAAGGGATAAAATACATATTATATATATATATATATATATCCTATCAACGTTAAACAATGTCTCCAAACAGATCTTCATGTCCAAAACTACACAATTAATTGTGTCCGGATCGAAACGCCTTTTCTTCTTCCTCACTATCACTATTATGTTTCTCGATTCGGGGTATTGGTTTGATGAGAACGACAACTAACTAAAAGTGGGAAAGAAGATAAAGGAGTTGTTTTCACTTTTAAATCTTAAATACCAAAATTAATTAAAAAGATTATTTTAATTATAATAATCCTTTCTTTCTAAAACAATAGTCTAATTAGTATTCATTCTTTCTACTATCCCGTATAACCGGAAGTGCTTACCAATAACTTGATGCGATCAGTTCGGGAACCAATATTGATCATGAAACATAAGTATTATTTTATAAAGAGAAAATTTGACATACATGTATTAGGCATATTTCACTAATTAATATATATATTATCTGAATCCAGTAATTAATATACATATTATCTGAAAAAATATACTAATTAGGGAAAAAAATATCATGGATCCATTGATCGATCTTGTTTATTCTTCTCATCAAGTTCTGTACATGGGCAAGGGACATATACACACACATATATATACATATTATAGATTCTTCAATATAACACACCCACACACATATCTGTATTATGTATATATATATATATATATATATAGGGTTCATGTAATGGAGGAGAAACAACACAGAGAAAGAAACAAATATATATTACTTACCACGTCATAAGCAGCAGTAGTACTGGGCAAGGCACCATAAGTGAGAGCTGAAGAGGAGATGAGTCTTTGGTTTCCCTTGGCTTTGACTAGTCTGATTGAGACAAAGATCTTACGAACTTTGAGAATTATATATAACTGACGCCAATATTTTCTTCCTTTATAATTAACAGTGACCAACACTGCAGTTTGCTGAGACTCAAGGTCGTCTAGAACTGCATGATGTCCAGAGCTTGCTTCTAACACGTGAGCCATATACAGGATTCTGGTGACTTTTCTTAATCCAAACTTTTCCTGGGAATAGTTAGCAATTTACTGCAAGAAAATGAACGGAAACAATCATCAATAAAATTAGAAAACAAAGAAAAACAGAACCTAAAAGGTGATAAGCAGAAAATACATGCCTTTCTTGATATAGTACTACTAAAAATAACATGGGGTTTGCTTATCACTTGTGTAATAACCATGTATAGGGGGAAATATATGGAAAGCAAGCAAAAACGAACAGAGTTTTGCAGTAGTAGTTCTGAGATATGTGAAAAGTGCGGGTGGAAACAACCAAAATGGTTTTATAAGGTTTTGGCATTTGCCAGGTACTCCTACCCAGGCACGGATTTACAATAGGACAGCCAAAAATATATATACTGTATACACATATCAGTCCCTTTACTAGGGCTTTGTAGTTTTACTGTGTTGGGGCTAACGTGTGGGGGCTGGGGACCCATCAAATTCGTACGAAAAGAAATTGTAAAATAATTCGTATATGTAAAAACGGCAATTCAGGAATTTTCTCAACAATTACATTTTCAAGTTTTTTGTTTGTGTTTTGCTTCCTTTCTTTATTCTTTGTCTTAATTGCTTTCGTGTAGAAATAGCTCATTCTTTATCAACCGGCAGATTTTCTTTTTCAACCGGCTCATTCTTCAGCAGGCACGCGGTCAGCCGATCCCTTTCCTTTCCTTTGAGTTGTTGGCCATAAAACGAAAGCAAGCGATATGATGCTGTAACTTTAAGGTATGTAATTTAGAAATCTATTAATCCTTTTACCTTTAGAAGATTAATTTGTATGTTTGTATATGTTGGTTTTTTTATTTATATTGTTTTGAATATACACTATATTATAATAAGTTTACTAAGGTCTCGTTCATTTCACCAATTTAAGTTTAAAATTTGAGTTTTATTATAGTAAAAAAATTTTAAAAACAGTCACATTTAACTTTTTTACTATAATAAAAAGTTATCATATAAATTTATATTTCAACTCGAATAAGTGGCTGTAAATATACACTATTAACTTGTTTGTATAATAGGTTAAGTTTATTTGTGCGTGCGCTCACGTAATAGATAAGGGCAATATAGTAACCGCGGGGCATGAGTATCGAGGAAACTTCTAGTTCTTTTTTAATCCATCTGCTTTTTCCCCTCTTTCCTTGACTTTTTTCTGTTTCTATTTACATGTCTTTTTTAATTTAGATGTTGCAATTTCAATTCTTTTATCAAGATTTCTAATTGAAAAGCTGGTTTTAATGGAATATATATTATATATATAATTCAGAATAAAAGTCAATAACTAAATTAGCTTAATAAAAAATAGAACTTAAACCTAGAAAAAATTTAAAATAACTAATAATGATCAGAATACAATTTACGATTAATAAAAGACCATAATAATTTAGAATAAAATTCAGTAACTATTGCATGAATAATACATTAATGATTAGAATAGTAATTTTTCGTATAATTTTTTTTCAAAGGAAATTTTTCTTAATAATTAAAAGACCTTATTTCTTTCTTTCCTTCTTTTTAAACTTGGGTTGAGACTAATCCTTATTATTATAAAATTTTAAATTTAATTATTGTTTTTTTAATTTTATTATTTATGTGACTACACAAAATTTTAATGACACTATAGAAAATAACCTACAAGATATGTGATAACCTACAGGTTATAGAAGATAACCCGCACGTTATAAAAAATAACATGTAAGTTATTAGTCACAAAATAAATTTAACAACCGTGAATAATTAAAAGTGTTAAGACATTTTTAAAAATTCCTCATTTATTATCTCAGCAAGTACCAAAATTTAAAACGAGTGAACCGAAGACCAAACTAAAGCCGTCCCAAAGTCATCTCCCAAAGTAACCAAATTCCAATGTGTAGCTGCCTTACGTGTCTTGAGATAGAAAAGAGAAGCGACGCGGTTTGCAATTTCTCAAGAGCAACAACGAACATGGATTTTGCTACGATAATATCATTTTTTTATGAATTGTGATGTGTCATTATTACTTATTACACTTGGCAACTGTAAAATCCATATTTTCATTAGCACGATCCGATGATGCAGAAAACATATACGATGAACGACATTTTGGAGTGAAACGATATTATTGGTATATGAAACAGTATTAAGAACAATATTGAAACGCGGTTTGTTTATCAGACACGCCTCAAATATTATACTTTTGATATATATATATATATATATATATATATATATATATATATGTACGTGTGTGTGTGTGGTATGTTGTTGGTATAGTCTCAAATCTCATGGTGAGACGTTTAACGCAAAAGCACTCCATCAGATCCCTTTTTTATTTTTTTTTTCCTTTTTTTTTGGGTAATTTGTATATAATATAAATGTATATATCGGTATATACTTTTTTCTATATTATTACATGAATGAAACTTCCATGATGCTTTCGAGAAACAATGCCGCGTGAAGAACTTCAAACCAAAAGTACTACAGTCTACATGACATAGTATTGACGCCATGAGCTTGGTTAAATATAGAGATCTAGAATATTCCATAATATTAATATTGATTATATAGATGCTTCAAAACCATTTTGGTATGTGCGCAAAAATTGAAGATGATATATATGATTATTGGAATTTTAGTTTTGCATGGGCACATAGGGCTGTAATGGTAGCTTCGCAATTTGACGACGTTGATCATTTATTTATTTATTTATTTATTTTGCTTGTAGCTATTGATATCATTTATTTGTTTCTTTAATTTCTCCTCTCTTTAAGTCTCCCCACGTATACATATATATTTATATACGCACAATATATGTATATGTGTGTGTGTCTGTGTGTGTGGTATGTTGTTGGTATAGTCTCAAATCTCATGGTGAGACGTTTAACGCAAAAGCATTCCATCTGATCCCTTTTTTTTTTTTCCTTTTTTTTTTGGGTAATTTGTATATAATATAAATGTGTATATATATATCGGTATATACTTTTTTTTCTATATTATTACATGAATGAAACTTCCATGATGCTTTCGAGAAACAAAGCCGTGAAGAACTTCAAACCAAAGTACTACAGTCTACATGACATAGTATTGACGCCATGAGCTTGGTTAAATATAGAGATCTAGAAAATTCCATAATATTAATATTGATTATATAGATGCTTCAAAACCATTTTGGTATGTGCGCAAAAATTGAAGATGAGATATATGATTATTGGAATTTTAGTTTTGCATGGGCACATAGGGCTGTAATGGTAGCTTCGCAATTTGACGCGGTTGATCATTTATTTATTTATTTTGCTTGTTGCTGATGAGAACATAGCCATCAAAGTCAATCCGGAAGAAAGACAATTAACCTTAAACGTTCATCAAGCCATTGTATGGCCAACTTGCATATTCCAAGAAGTTCAGGCGCAATTTCCATCAAGAGACCAAGTCAAATTGCGGATAAAGAGTTGATTTTATCATAATTCTATCTTTTTAGGTTTAAGTTTCAATTTAAACATTTAAATTCCATCTTAGGCGTTTTTAAGGTAGGAATTAGACTCAAATTCGGATTCCTTCCCTAGGATAAGTTTTTAGGCGTTTTTAAGGAAGGGATTAGAGTCAAATTCGGATTCCTTCCCTATGAGTTATCTTTAGGCGTGTTTATCTTATCTTTAGGTGTTTATCTTCATTTATGCGCCTATCTCATTAAGGGTAGGATAGGACTTTTACAAATTTTAAACCTTTCAGTTTGTTTTCGGCTATTTAAGGCTGAAATTTGAATTTAATAAAAAGTTTTTGATGTTTATTCACTTTGTGAGATATTCTTCTTGAATTCTTGAAGAACTATTCCGAACTTATCAAGGTTTTCCTTGTGGCGTTCAACCTAACTTATCAAACGGAATTTCCATACTCGTTTGTGGCATCTTCACCATACCAAGGTGTTGGGAATAGTGTCCTAGAAGCATGAGATGTAAAATGATATTTATTATTTATTTAATAAAAGAGTTTATTCATCATTTTATGTGCATATATTTATGAATAATTTATGAATATCAAATAAAATTCCTTGATTATTTATGTAACCTTAAACATGATATATAAGTGTTGTATACGAGAGCATAATGGTTAAGGATAATAATCAAAAGTAATTGTTCATAATAAATTTAATTAAAGTTCAGAATCTTTAATTAAAACATTATTAATACATGTCATTCCCATTTAGAATGGAACGGTGTTATCCGCACTGTTAATATGGCGAGATATTGAATGAGTGTATTTCGCATAATGAGATTATGTGGAACA